AGGAATTCTACAATGAAACGTGATAAAATACAGACCTAGTTCTGCTCTGCACATGAGGAGATGTGGCACCTGACTCTTCAGTATTATGCATCATAAAAAAAGGAAATAAATAGAACATGCATGTATCAAAGAGCTCCGTCCCAGTTCAGAAAAAAAAAAAATCCTCTCGGGAGCCTAGCTGTGAAGATGCAGTTTCAATCTTTTAATTTATTCATTGTTGTGTTCAGCTGGAAGAAGAAACGGAGAAACCAGGCTACAGTTAAAAGGATCCATCACTGCTTTGACACCTTGAAATCAGAGGAGCTGCTCAGATCCCAGCCGTGACGTGGGATTAAAGCACGCGGAGGACCCCAGCAGTATGAAGGGACGCTGGCCAGAAGCAGGCTGGAGGTGTCTCCAGCTTCATCCCCAGGCCTGGGAGGAAGAAGTCGTGGTTTGAAGAGTGATTGAGTACAGCAGAGACAAGAGCTGCCCGTCGGTCCTGGGCGTGAGGCAGGAAATCCTGCCTGCTCAGATGCTTGAGGATATCATCAAGAGACTCAGCAGCTACTGGACACGAGGGCAGTGCCGGCATGAGCAGTGCTGCTGGCGATGGGCCGGCCATCCCATGACACTTAACAGGCCCACAAACCCCACGGCCAGGGGGTTTGGCCAAAATCCCAACTGGGAGCCATCTACCTAGAAGGACGTGCTGTCTTCCCCGTGGTGATAGTGGGTGCCCACGCACGGCCCCCTCGCCACTACCTCCTGCCCGGCGGCAGCGCCAGACCTCTGCGCCAGGTGCAGGCCAGCGCTCTGCCCGCACCTGGTATGAGGACGCAATTGTGGCCTGGTGTTAAAGCTGAGGGAGTGTTGCCTACTTGCCTCCTGCCATGGCCCCTCCACCAGACCCACATCCCGTCTCCTCTACCCAAGACCTGATTTGCAGGCTCTCGTGGCCCGCGAAGGCTGCAGCCCACCTACTCACAGCAGAACCGGCAATGCTGGCACCAAGGGCACATACAGCTCTGTGCACTGGCTCCCACCACTGTGGTTTCATGTGCAGAGCCCAGCCTGCCTGCAGCTTCGCTTGGGCCATGAAACTAAGCACAACCTCAGGGCAATGCCCACCCCTGCTCCACCCCAAAAAGCCATGCAGAGCAGCTGGTAGCTCTCAGTTTTTCCAAGGCAAGGAAGCACCCGGGACAAATCTTGGCCAGTAAAATCAAAGTGCCAGTGGGCAGGATGGAGGCAGAAGCAGGGGGGACACCCTCTGAGGCAGGAATTCAGTACCTGCTTCTGGGCAGCAAGGAAAATCTGCTCTGCAGCCCTGCCCCGACTCTGCCCTGTGGTCCGCCTGCTCTCCCGGCGCTGCTGCAAGGCAGTGTCAGGAAGGATATTGCTGATGGCTAGCCCTAAGCAAGCGGGAATGTCTCCACTGCTGGCTCTGCAGAGATAGGCTGCCGATGGCATTCCCAAGCGCCCAGGTGGGGAAACTGAGGCACCGAGCTCTTACAGGCTTTGTCCAAAGGCCTGAGACCCCCTCACGTCTCCCACCCTGCCTTGTTGAGTGTTGGCATTGTCCCTTCCCCGAGGCAAAGGGTGGCAGGGGCAGGGAACGGGTGGCCCCTTCTCCTCCCAGGCACTGCCATCATCGTTGGCTTTGCAGAGCCTCTGCTCTGCCCAGGCCATGCCAGGACTGGGAGGGCTCACGGCTGCCAGGCCTGATGCCCTTCTTGTCCCCTGGCATGTCCCTGCCCTCCATCCTGGCAAGTTGTGGGCAGGGGGAGGCAAGGACATTGGGGATGATAAACAGGCAGGTTATCCAAAAGCAGGTCTAGGCAGCAAGGGGTATGGGTGGGTTGGTCCCCACGACTTCTCCTGACCCAAATCTCACAGCAGCTGCCCTCTGGGTCTAGGGCAATTGCCCCATCCATGGGAGGAAGAAAGCTCTGCAAGGGAGGAAGGGGCAGCCCTGCTCTGGTTGGTGCCATGTCCTTGCAGGCTGCTGGGATCCCTGGCCACGCTGCAGTTCGGGAGGGGGCTGCCCCTCGGGGGCCCTGCAGAAAAGCTTCCTGCTGTTTGGAAGGGCACAGCAGCACATGGGGAACACGATGAGGGGGACCTTTTCCGTGACCTAGGGCAGCCCTCGGCCCCTGCTGGTGGCAGCTTGGGAGCATCCTGGCCTGGCCAGTGTCCAACTCCAAGCTCTGGTGCAGATGTCAGAGCCTTCCCCCAGCCAAGGGGACTGCCATAGCTGGCAGCATTTCACTAGGATGCTGGGGCTGTCCTTGCAAAAACGCAACAGTCGTGGAAACCTTAGAGCGGCTGGGAAAGGGGCCAATGCCCAGCTGCAGCGCCCCCAAGGGAGCTGAGAGTGGGCGTGCTGAACGACTGCATAACCCTGGGGAGGACAGAGCCCAGGGCTACCTCAGAGCTGGGCATTGCCATCGAGTGGCCTTGGATGAACGGCGAGGACCCCGCTGCAGAGAGAGCAGGGGTTTGGGGTCACCCCAGATTGGCCCCCTGCAGCCCTGGACCCTGCGGCATGCAGGTGTGCCAGCATCACTGGGCAGAGCCAGCAGGCTGGGCGCCACATCCCCCTCCCCGTCGTGCGGCACCCAAGCCCTGCTGGGGCTGTGCAGATCACTCGGAGCGAGCACGAGCGCCAGACAGCCCTTGGCAGAGGTGGGGGGGCTGGTGCAGGCGTGGCAGTGGGGATGGGCGTCCTTTCCCAGCTATGGCCTGCTGCACGGGGCTGGCATGTGCCTCTGTGCCAGGCTGGCCGTCCCCTGTCCCATACCACCTCTGGGGGGCGCATTGCTTCACTGAAATTGTGTTGCGGCACCAGCTTTTGTCCCTTTCCCTGTCCCCTCCTGCAGCAAGGGCTGCTGCCACCTCTCCTCCCCAGTATCTGCTCAGGCATCCCCCAAAACATGGCCCTGCCACAACTGCTGTTTGGTGTGCAGCATCCCCCACTGCTCTCCCGCCCTGCGCCGCCCACAGTGCCCCATGCAGCCCCAGTGCCACATGTGCTGAAACACGGCAGGCTCCTCAACAGCCCTGCATCTGCACCCTGCCCTCCTTTGGCACCCCTGGGACCAGGCCTGGCTCAGCACCCTGTGCTGGACACAACAGGGGCCACAGCACTGGTGTCGTACCCTGCACCTAGGTTAACATGCAGGTCTGTGTCCAAGGACCCTACAGAGCCCCTGCTGAGCATCCAGGGAGCATATACAGTATCCTGTACCCAAAGACCTTATAGAGCCCAGCTGGCACCCAAAGGGTATCTTACAGGGTCCCTGCTGTGCCATCAGATCATATAGTAACATGCTCAGGACACTGAGGTGCTCTAGGAACAGAGGCCCTATGCCACCCAGAAACTATATAGAGCCCCTGCCAGGTACCCAGAGACCATACAGGGCTACAAGCAACATGAAGGCGTCACATCGTGCCAGGGGCTGGCAGCCTCAGCAGCACTGCGATGCTCCACGGGTGCCCTCCCAGACCAGGTGCCACTGAAGATGCCCCTGGGACCTGCTGTGGGCTACATCCCAGGAGGGCTGCGCCAGGTCCCTGGGGGCAGGCAATAAAGTGTGGGCAGCCACAGAGGTGCCAAACGTTTGCTCTGGCCATGCTTGCATAGAGGTAGCCGTGTTGTCTAGTGGTTAGGGGCAGAGATGAGGCCAGGGCAGGGCCTTGGGGTGCCCCGCACCCTGGCCGAGTGCTGGCTTACCCAGAGTGGGCTCTGGGAGGGACTCGCCCGCTGCCAATGACCCATGCTCCATGGCAGCCCTCAGCCTGTGGTTCCACTACATCACGCTCCTCCTCCAGCCCAGCCAGGGCCCCAGGATCCCAGAGGCTCTGGATCCAGCCCACCTCAGCAAATGCTGGCGATCCACAACGCCCAGAGTCCATGGATCCCTCCATGGCAGCATCCTTCTTTTGCGCTCCCCCCAGCACTGGCACCAAGATGCATCACAGGGAGCCAGAGGGCTATCCAGCCCCACTGCATCAGTGCGCCCACGAGAAAACACATATCTACAAAGGGGAATAAGTAGGGGGCCATCAGGAGGGGGCCCCATGGCCCCGTTCACATGATGTCATCCAGGAGGTTGGGGCTGGCCACCCAGTCGAGGGTGCGGGGCTCCGAAGCAGCCATGATCATGCACATGAACTGCTTGCCTGTCCTCTTGTCGATGGGGTAGATGGTCGTGGGGGTGAAACGCTTGTTGCTCTCCACGAAGTCACAGAGCTGCTCATAGATCTTGGGGAACTCGTGGCGCAGGAAGACACCACGGATGCGTAGCTCCCGCTGGATGTTGATGAAGCAGACCTCCCGCGCCTTGCGCCCTTCTTCACCCTCCTTGTCGATGTCCGCCGTGCCGGGTGGCGGGGTCAGGATCAAGGTCTCCATGTCCCGTTCCTTCTTCAAGATCTTCTTCTCGGGGCTGGATGAGGCTAAGGCCACCTTGGCATATTTCCTGACCGTCGGCACCTGGATCTTCGGAGATGGCCTCTCTGGCACTTTTTGGGCAACGGCCACAGTTACATTCAAGAGGAAACATTCATCAGGGTCATACTGGTTGCCAGTCTCCCGCAGCTCCCGAGCATATTCCCCTAGGTTATCCGAATAGCTCTCCAGCTCCCGCAGAGACAGGTATGTGGGGGACATCAGCAAGCTCTCCAAGCCAAACTGGAGGAAGTTCTCTGCTGAGCCTGAATTGGGGAAGCCCAAGAAGAGCACGCCACGTCCTCGGGAGAGGTAGCCCACCTTGGCGATGCGCGAGAAGGCTTTGTGTACCTCGGCGTTCTCCCGGCAGAACTGCAGCACGTGACGGCAGATGCTGCCAACGCGCCCATAGACGCAGCTCTCCTTGTGCGTGTCCCAGTCCTCACGGCGGCAGTTGCGGGAGCAGTAGTAGGTGTAGCAGCTGTGGCAGGACTTGAAGTAGAGGCAGGCGTTGAACATGGTCTCCGTCCGCCGGCACTTGGCATTTGAGCACATCATCATGTCATCCTCCTCGGCACTCAAGTCCGGAGAGCAGTTGTCCAGGTGCTTCTCAAAGCTGCCGCTGGAGACGGACGTGGGAAGCCCATGGCTGCCCCGCTCACGGCGAGGGTCACTGCAGAAGGAGCTGGGGCCTGGCTGCTCCTTCATGGGCCGGTTTGCCTCGGGCGTGCAGGCAGGGGCCTTCCTGACCTCTGCTTTCCTGGGGTGCCCTGGAGCGCTGCTGTTGATGAGCTTTTTGAGCTGGTCGGCGACGCTGTCTCTGTCACCAGCGCGGTGGCTGGGCGCTGGCTTGTAGTCAATGACCAGGTCAGTGATGAGCTCGTCCAGCTGCTCCAGGCTGCGCTGGCGGGCCGAATTGCTTTGGGCACTTTCTTTGGCGACAGGGTCTGGGTGGTAGGGCATGGCGTAAGGGCAGTTGCCCTCCCGCCCTGAGTCCAGCACGTCCCAGCTGGCTGAGCGTCTCTCGCTCTTGCCGAGGCCGTTGGCACGGATGTCATTGTCAGTGATGGTGATCTCCGGCGTGACGTACCAGGAGCGGCCCATGGGGTAGCGGCCACCGTCTGCATGCACCCTCTCGATGATGGAGTTTTCCGAGAGGGACAGGGCGGCGTAGCGCTTGGGCGAGCTGGACAGGTTGATTACCACTGGTTGCCGCCGGTCGTCAGGGGATAAGGCACGTTGCTGCTCCTGGGCCAGCAGGTTCTCGTAGCTGCGCCCGCGGAGCAGGGGGTCCTCCCGGCGGACAATGGGCGTCAGGATGTTGTCCCAGGATTTGGAGTAGTGCTGGCTCTCCCTGCCCAGCCGTGAGGGGTTTGTGCTGTAGCTGGCATGCCAGGAGGAGAGCATGGCCTCACGCCCAGGTGGTTGTGGGGCGAACCGTGACATCTGCAAAGTTTGGTAGGGCAGCGTGCTCCGCTCGGGGCAGTACCAGTCACTGAAGTGCAAGGGCTGGGTGCTGCGTGGATGGGGGCATGTCCGCGAAACGGCCTCCCGCTCGCGGTACTTCCCATAGTCCTCAGCGTAGAAGACCCTGGCGGAAGAACCAAGGGCAGGGTATGTCCTGGCATCCTCGGTGTATAGCGTTTTCATGGGAGTGCCACGCGGGGCATAGAAGCGAGGGTCATCTCCATAGAAAGCGTGGGCAGGGGGCTCCTGGATGGGGTAGCTCCGTGCCTCCTCCACGTACAGTGTCCGGGGTGGGATGGTGTGGACGTTCACTTTGGTTGGCTCCTCTGGGTAAAAGTGCTGCGGGGGTCCGTGGCGGCGGGGGTAAGGGTAGCTGGCGTAGCCGGAGCTCTTGAGGGGCATGGCCGGGCTGGGGCACCGCACGGGCTCCTCGGCATAGAAGAACTTGGTGGGGACGCTGGGGGCGGCGAAGGTCATGCAGCCCCTCTCGGGGTACTCCCTGTAGTCTCGCGAGGAGGGCACTGGCACCGTCTGGTACGCCCGCCCCCGAGGGGCTGCCTCGT